AGGGCATACGATCAGTAATCGATCAGATTGTTCAGACTAATAATTGATCTTTTGCATTCAGAAGTCACGTTTGTACCGCATCATTTACCTACACTTTCAGGTTGAGACTATATTGAGTTTTGAGGAGAAGTGGAAATCGAAAGAAGGCATACCCGTCGATGCGAAAATGCTACCAAGTGCGAAACGTGCACAACTGGAATTAATCGACGAATCAGAGGGTGATGAGAACGACCAGAAGTATTCATTGGAAGGTGAAGATGAAAAAAGGCAGCAGATCGAGTCGAATCATAGAGCGACAGTGAAAAAATCATCTGCAGTTTCCTCATCATAGTCTTAAATGTAGATGTGATCAGCATATTTTCTTAATTCAACTTATTTGGTGAAAGTCACAACTTTAGATGTAGATCGATGCACTTTGATTTGATGCAATCAAAGTTCGCAAGAACTGATACAGTCCCGTATAGCCTTCATGCAAAATCCTATTTTGGAGCCGTGCGGATTTTCTGTGAGCAATTTTCGAAGTCTCATCGGAATTTCTCGGTCAATTTTTCATGAAACCATTTATTCGGCGAGTGGCTCCATCGATGTGTCGATTACAGTGGAAATTTATTGCTTGATTGTGATGTTAACATCGATATTTTTTATAGTGTCACTGAATCAATTGTAGTATTTTGCTTTATTAACCGGTGTTGAATAGACATCTTTTAATGGTGCGTCAAAAGGACAATAAAAGTCATATGATTTCGACTGTATTGTTTGATCAGATTTTGAGCTTTTCTGAAATTGATTTAAGCTTTTTTCGATTCTAAAACTACTGGCAGTTATTCGTGTGGCTCGGCAAAGCTGAGGATAAAGCTAGTTCGATTATGGTACTCGTTATCGCTGATCATGCCGCGGAGATCAGATACACAAAGTTTGGCGGTATTATAGAATGCTTCCAGCAGTTTGACATATCTTCAGAGAATCAGTTACGTCTCTTGGACTAAGCAAAGCCTCAAGAAAACATGCACAATTATCGAAAAGCTGAGAATCTGCTGAATCCGACGGTACCAAGAAGCAGTGGTGTGCTGGGCAAAGTTGAGGATACCAATAATTTGAAAATAATGCTCCTGATAGTCCCCTAGTGAAAATGGCTCATGTGTATGACATACCTTGCTTAAACGAGATTTACCCATGGGAAGCATACAAATTCGCTCAACAACATTCCTGTTGCTCTGAAACTAACGAATCCTCGAAGGAGATTTTGAAAAGAACTCGCGAGTTGCTGGGTAGACCTGAGGATTCAATTAGTTTGAAAATGGTACTCACGACAACTTTATAGTAATGAAATTGCTAAGATATGCGTTTCTGAAAGTAGAGAATCTGTGGAATCCGATAGTGTGAAGAAACTACCATGTTGCTGGGCAAACCTAAGAAGAGTTATATTTTAAAGATGGGGACTCTGATATTGCTAAAGTGATGTACAGATTGATCAGTAGAGATACAGATTGGATTGTGCAGATTGGTGTTATGGTATATACTTATCTATGCTACAGGTGGGAGTTACAGGGTAAATGTCTTGACGGGTGCAAGGACATCTTAAAATTTTCAAGGGGATGATGGGGGAGGAAGAAAGGTTGAAAAGCACAGGAAGAATGAATAGCTCTGGTTATAATTCGTCGTCAAGCGACATTTTAGATGTGAAATGCGAATGAATAAAACAATTCTTGTCTAAAGGTGCACTNATGAGGAATGACCTAAAGGCGGACGATCTGTGTGCCAACGCTGATAGGTTATGATTGTGTTGTGATTATCGAATCGTTTGCGATTGATGTTTTTTGATCATTCGCTCAACAGTTTAATACATACAATTGAAACTGTCTCTATCAGCGGATTGTTTTTGTGAGTAAAATCTTTATTATCATTAAAATCTGTCTGTAAAATTGTTAGTTGAGTCAGTTATTCATTTGTTAACCATTGTCTTGTGTCTCATGATCATGCCAAATCTATGCATGTTACCGAACAATATAAAAAGTGTGCTTGAGTTTAGAGATAAACCTTCTAGATAGCAACAATTGCTGTTACATTTGACAGCCATCACTGCTAGTTCTCACTGTTTTGATTGCTTACCAATGATGCTAAGATTCAATTCATTCAGGAAGAAACAAGCTTTCAGACGATTTCATTCTATTACGTTAGTTGCTCTCTGGTCTCTTCGGTCTCAGATCATGGTTTGTATGATGTTTACGAACATATGCACTGATTATGGCAAATCGGCTAAGATAACGTTGCATTTGAAATCGTTCTGCATCGGCTCAACGCAAAACAGCTCACGAACCAATCATCACTGATCCTTGTTCACAGTGAAACGCGTGATTACTGAAGGTGCAAGGTCCAATTGACCGAGTAAAGTTCAGTTCAAGTTTATGCCCAGTTATCTCCTATCAATATTCATTATCACTATAAACACGAATAATTGTTATCACTGAGCGTTCTCATTAGATAACAGTACATTGTCGTGTCGCATATCAATAAAGATTTTATTGTCAACATAATTACTGAGCTTGTGTAATCGTCAGTAATTGCACTCTCATTTCAATAATCACCCTTTTCAAAGAGCAGCTCATCGACA